GAGGAAGAACTTCTTCCCTCTGAGGGTGACGGAGCACTGGAACAGGCTGCCCAGGGAGGTTGTGGAGTCTCCTTCTCTGGAGATATTCAAGACCCGCCTGGACAAGGTCCTGTGCAGCCTGCTGTAGGTGACCCTGCTTCGGCAGGAGGGTTGGACTAGATGACCCACAGAGGTCCCTTCCAACCCCTAACATTCTGTGATTCGGTGATTCTGTGACCTGCTCAGTAGAGCTTGCTGGGACTGACAGTCATTAGAGAACTGTGCAGATTCACTGATTTCTTATTAAGAAAACATGTCCCTAGACCCATTTGTGAATAGGCAAGGGGGGCAGGGGGGGAGCAAGGGTGTGATGGTGACATAATAACAATCATCTCAGGAGATGGGTTTGGTCTTTTCTACATCGCTGTAGACTTCATACTGTTGGTGCAGTGGACCAGAAGCTTTCAGACTCGCCAGAACACCCGATTTTCCTGACAGCTATTATTTGTCTCTACATACAGGAAAAAAACAAGGCAGAAACATCTGCCCTCATGAACAAATAAAATGTGATTAATTGTGCAGACCTCCAAAGGCTTTTTTCATGTCTTTGGTCACATCTCATTCGGTTTTAGCCACATCTCCTCTCCTGCCCTGCACACCAAGCGTTCATCTCTCTGCCCACAGGGGTAAGAGGAGGGCACAGGAGGCAGCTGGCCCACCTCGGTGCCGGTGTCTTCGTGCCTCTCCTCTCTCCACTGAGATAGTTCAGATGCTGATGCCGCAGCCCTTTGGGATGGATGCACGGATTGTTAGAGAACAGAGAAGAAGCCTCTGGTGCCTGACAGGTTTCTGCTGCAGACATGCGAGAAGCCAAACAGCGGCTGCCACCCCAGAGCCTCCCACAACCCTCCCACATGGAAGCTCTGGGGGCCACAGTTCCCACTCGAGGCGTGCTGGGCATCAGCTCCCAGGCAGAGGCAGAGACGTGAGCCATAGCACCTGGGCAGTCACCCCAGGGAGGCGGGTGCGTCACCAGAGCCTCCATGGGCCCCAAATTCCTCCGTCGCTCAGCACCCGCTGGGGATCGGGCCACGGAGATCGAGGCAGTTCATGAGAGCAAGTCCCTGTTCCTGTGCCCAAACGCTCACAGGGAGAGATGCGCCCCGGGCTGTGTCCAAATCAGAGAGGACAGGGAGGGGATTTGGCCATCCAGTGCAGAAGGCACTGATGCCTGTCCCAAAAACAGCCACAGCAGCTCAGGCTGGAGGGGACCTGATACAGGGGGACCTGAGGTGACTTGAGAGTGTGAGATACAGGTGTGGCCCCTCGTACTGCGGACTGGCCTGTTCTGGCTCCAGCCCTGTCTTAGGGGTGGCAGAGACGGGCAGGAGGAGCACGGCAAAAACCAGGGTGTCTGCCCCAGCGTGAGAACCCTCCCTGGCCCCGGTGGGACAGCACGGGGCGCCCAGCCTGAGGGTCAAATAACCACTTGCAGACCTGCCCTCCCCAGGAGTGTCCAAGCCCTGCCTTAGGACCCCATCTTCATTCTCTTGGGCCTCGACAGCAGGCTGTGATGACGATTTCCCCAACCTAACACCTGGGCCGGAAGCACCGCATCTCATGGGATCAAAGCCGCAGCAACGAACCCTCCTGCCTTCCCCGCCGTGTGTCAGCTTCACCGCGGGGTTTCGCTTTATCACCAGGCACGGTGCAAAGCAACTTTTTATTCGAGACAGCCCCTCCCTTTGCAGGCTGGGCATTCACACCGCAGGACTGTGGCTGGCCCCAACCTAACACCTGGGCCGGAAGCACCGCATCTCATGGGATCAAAGCCGCAGCAACGAACCCTCCTGCCTTCCCCGCCGTGTGTCAGCTTCACCGCGGGGTTTCGCTTTATCACCAGGCACGGTGCAAAGCAACTTTTTATTCGAGACAGCCCCTCCCTTTGCAGGCTGGGCATTCACACCGCAGGACTGTGGCTGGGGCCGATGCCGGTGGCGAGGTGCGGATGTAGCGGGCCACGATGGGCGGCCGCAGCAGGTTCTGCACTGAGGATGAGCGGTCTGAGTTGCCATAGAAAACCTGGGGAGAGAGGGGTGGGTGGGTGGTTCAGGGGCTAAAAATCCTGCCCCGTGATTTTGGGGTGCTTCTGCAGAGCAGAGGAGGAAAAGGATGAGGGTCCCTCTGCCCCACCCCCAAAATAAAAGACTTGAAAAATGTCAGGACACAGACTATTTGTGTCACGCTGGCTGGGTTTTCTGAGTCACTTCCCCCACTTCATTCCTCCACTTTTTCTGGTTAGACCAGAATTCATCTCACATCGTCCTCTCTCGTTCACCTTCCTGCAGCAAGGCACCCTGCGTTCAGAGTCCGTGTGGATGACCTTGGCTGTTTGCAGTTCATGAGCCAGGCTCCCAGACACCCCAATACAAAAAATCGCATTGGGGGCCCTTCCCCACTACTTGGCCGTGCTGCCACGTCTCCCACTACCATGACCTGGTTTTCGGGGAAAGCTCAGCATCTCCCCAGGGCTGCAGGAACCAGTGCTTTAGCAGAGCCACCAGAGCCCCCCATGCTGGGACGGGGCCTGGGAGGCAGCAGCCATGGCATCCCCTAGCCCACCTGGGCTGCACAGGGACCACAGGCACCACTGTAGGGTCCCCTGTGCAATTTTTCACTTCAGCCTAACCACTAAGAAGTGCAGCACAAGAACGCTTCAGTGGGTTGTGACTTCAATAGTTGCAGATTTTGTCTCAGGTTTTTTTCTGCATCATTATTGTGTGCTAGCCCTGGACTCACAGCAATGCCAGCTAATGCCACCATCCTGCCAAGTTTCATCTAGACTCCACCATCATCATTAGGAAAAAATGTATTTTGTCCTTGTGCAGTTGGTCAGCATGGCACTTATACCACGGTGAGGGTCATCCCCCTCCATGCCTCCCTGGACATGGGGTGAGCACTGGGTGCCAGCAAACCTGCTGCTCCCACAGGAACCCCTCTTGGGGCACCTCCCTGCCAAGACCCGATGCTTTTGTGTCACCAAATGTGGCCCCTGCTCCACCAGTGGCCAAGCTGTAAAGTCCACTGACCCGGTTGTTCCCGGTCTGGTCCTTGTAGTAAACCCAGTTGAGGTTTTCGTCGGTGCGGTACTGCACGCTGTACTTGGTCATCCACTCATCGGCATCGCAGCGCCCTTGTGTGAGGATCCCCGAGATCACCTTCACCTCCTTCAGGTCGATCTGCAGCCACTGCCCGTTGTCCTGGTACTTGGAGAGCCACGCGCACCTGGGGGGACACCACCAGCCCCGCTACATCCCTCGCCCCTGCCCTTGCAGGCTGACCCTCCTGCCCCGATGCTGCCGGGGTGCCCTGGTCCCCCACTCCCGCCTGCCTGCGGAGCCCCTCGGGAAGGCATTTCCAGACTCACCCGAAGCCTTGGCCGTTGAGGCGGGCCTTGTTGGCCGTCCAGGAGGAGTACCAGCCCGTGTACTGATCAGGGTTGGAGCAACTTATCTGGTCGGGGGTGACAGCGCCGGACTCGAAGCCCAGGGGCTTGTGGTAGGGGCACTCTGCAGAACGAAGGAGAAACACCCTACCATCAGGCCACGAGCAGCTTTGGTTCCTGGGTGTGTTTGCACATGTGTTGTTGAAACCCTCTGTGGTTCCACTGCTCCCTGTCATCCCCAGCCAGGATGATGGGGATGATCTTGCACCCAGACCACTACCCCTGTAGTATTTACTGCCCAGGGGTCATGGGTGTCTGAATTTCTAACTCTTCTCTTGTACGAATTTCTGACTCCTCTCTCTCAAACTTCCTAAACCTGTGCTGCCTGCAGCGTTTCAGGGGTAAGGTTTTATTCAGATATTGCAGTCTGAATCTCTTTCTTGCAAGTACGTGCAAGCAGCTCCACGCTGGATCCATCAACCTGGATCCAGCCTCCAGGCTGCCAGCCTCTGCCTGGCCCTTGAGAAATGTCTGGCACGACTTACTTGCTGGGTCTGATCACCTTCTGCTCCTCCATTCACTGTCTTGACTTATGGCTGTGCCTGCACAGCAAAATTGCTGAGCCTGTTCCGATCATCCCTCCACAAGCAACCTCAGCTCTTCTGCACTCCTGCTGTGAGGATTATCTTTGTGTCTGGAGATGGCCTTGTGGAAAATCTGCAGGCACCCCAGTGCCAGCAAGGTGTAATGCCTGGCCGTGCCAAAGTCTCTGTTATCTCCCAGTGACATTTTGCCTTTGGATCTTCAGGCTACCAAACCTGACTCCACAGCTGTCTTCTGTGATAGCGAGAGGTTCAGGAAGACCGCCAGATGAATACTTATTCATCATTAAAACTTTCTGTGATGGATGACCATGTGGTGCTCTGGAGGGCAAGCCTTTGGTGACACCACCATGCAGGGTGTCATGCTCCCTGGACCTAGTTGAGGGTTTTTTTGTTATGATCATTTTTTATGCAAACAGATTATCACTACGTATCTAGATACACATGAAGAAGGTGTGACAAGTGTCACATGGGAATTGCCTGGGCAAACATCTACGTCATGGGCAGCATTTACTAATTTTGCGGCCTGTGGAGCAGGCGTGGTGCCTCCCAAGGGTAACTCTGTCATGCTTTCCAGGTTAGCGTAGTTTGTCGCAGGGGTTTTGGCAACAAAAGAGGAAAACAAGTCTCTGTGCAGCTTCACGCGTGGGTGGGACGTTTCCTCGCCTTAGCCATGCCTGACCCACCAGCACGATGCCTTGTGTCAAAAATGACTGACACGCAGGGAGCGTCCGCAGGCACGCAGGGCCCAGCGTGCCCACGGCCTCCCCAGCACAACACCCCAGCACTGCGGTGCCACGGTCGATGCCTCATTAGCAAACTCCACTAGGTCGATAGCGTATGCATCAATATCTCATTAACATATCTCACTCAGTCGGTACCTCATGGACATGTTTTTCCCCACAAAAACGCATCGCCACCATCCCGCCTTCCTCCGGGCACGGAAACATCACGATTTTCCACCGCGTTAAAACCCTCGCTCCCCTTGCACAAGAGGGCGGCCGGGCTGGGGTGGCCCCACGTGTTTACTACTCGGCGGGCTTATCTGGGACGCCACGTAACTTTACTCTTAGCAGCAGTAATCCGCAGGGCACACAACCGTAATGCAATTAGCGGGTCACCTTCTGGCGCGTGCGGCTGCACCATGTGCACGGACCCGCAAAACAGGCACCTGGTGCCCGCGCGGCCACACTGGCCGAGCCATTTCGCGCCATTACCGCCGACCTGGCGAAAGCTCGGCCACCCTGCCTGGGCAGAGAGACACCTGGGAGGTACAGCGGCAACATTGATTATTCAGGAGAACAGCCTTCATTAGTCAAGGAAGATGCCTTCATTACTCAGCTACATAATGCCAGTGTGTGAGAGCACCTCTCACGCCTAGCTGGCCAGGAAACCTAGAGCCGCTCCTCTCACACACGTGTCCTCAGCCATGGATGATCAACCAAGCCTGCCACATCCTCTTCCCTTCTCTTCCCTTCCCTTCCCTTTCACGGGGCAATGGTTTTAAATTGAAAGAGGGTGGGTTTAGTTTGGTCATAACAAAGACATTTTTTGTGATGAGGATGGTGAGCCACTGAAGCAGGTTGCCTAGAGAAGCTGTGGATGTCCCATCATTGGAGGTGTTCAAGGTTAGGTTTGATGGGACTTTGGGCAACCTGGTCTAGTGAAACATGTCCTTGCCCATGGCAGGGGAGTTGGACTAGATGATCTGTAAAGGTCCCTTCCAACCCCAGCCATGCTGCAACTCTGTGATTCCTTGATGCAAGGAGGAGCAGGGTGGTACCACACTGCAGCAGGGTGGTACCAAGCTGTAGCAAGGCTTTGTATGGAGAGTTGTACAATGTTAAGGCTAAACAGCAAGAAAATGTGCAGTAGGACCAGGCTGGCTTGCCAGGTGTAGGTGTCAGTAGGGAGCCACCGTGAGAAGAAAGACACAGGAAGTCCCGTCTGAACATGAGGAAGAACTTCTTCCCTCTGAGGGTGACGGAGCACTAGAACAGGCTGCCCAGGGAGGTTGTGGAGTCTCCTTCTCTGGAGATATTCAAGACCCGCCT